CTTACCCTGACAGAACTAATTAAATACTAATCACTGCCTTAGATACACCTATCCTGATCTAAGAAAGTATACTTTTTCTATTCGGTTTTTAAAATATACATTGTTGAAAAAAAATCATGTAGGTAATTTAAGTTACAGGTAGATTTATTTTACACATTAAGGTTAATGTTTCTTACATCAGATCTATTCACAGAATCATAGGATAGAATCAGAGTAATTTTGGTTGGAAAGGACTGCTAAGATCGTGTAGACCAGCACTTAACCCAATACTGGCAAGTCCACCAGTAATCCTCTACGTTGATATATATATATAAATATATATATATATATATATATATATATATACACATGAAAAACTTGAGTTTATATGCATCTGTCTGAGGCTTCTGTTTTTCAAGTTTTTGTCCTGAATGATTCCACCTTCATATAAGTGGGGGAACTTTTCAGAGCTGAGGATAAGAAAGGCATATGTAGGCTCAGGAGTACCTCCTTGAATCATAGCATCATTTAGGTTGGAAAAGAGTCTTTAAATCCTCTGGTCCAACTGTTAACTGTTATTAAAAGTCTTGATAAATATCAGCAGCCCATGTCAACTTACATGATTTGTAAATAAAATACCTTCAATTTTTCTTCTCCTATGGTAATTAGTTCTAACTGTCCCAAACTCAAGACACAACATGGACAAGTCATCACAAAATCTTCATAGGGATTTGAAAAATATTACCAGCATTTAAGTGCTTTATAAAGTATAAGGGAGGTTATAATCTGACATTTTAATGTCCACTTGTGGAATGGGGGTCATTTAATGAAGATTTTCTTTAGCTTCCATGAAGTTCACATTCTGACATCGCTCCGATGGTCTGGGGAAGTAAATTAAACTTAGATTGTATGGAAAATCAAATTTTTAAATTTAGGCTTCTTGACTAATGGGGTCTCAATTTTGCTTTCTCAGTTGTTGCAGTTCCAGTCCTTGAAAGTTTAAAGGCCTGAAAAGAAGCAACTGCCTCTTCAAACTGTAGAGGTATTTCTGATGCATGCAATTTTCAGAGTACCTTGACAACTTTCCTCAGCAACGTGTCCAAAATGACAGAGGCAACCCTTCCAGAGTATCAAGAATATTATTACTCTTCTAGTTCATAAACTGCCCCTCTCCTCTCTTTTCCCTGCCTCGTCTCAAACACCTATAGCATGAAAACATTGTAAACACTACGCATGCAACTGTGAGTTTCATTCAACTTGTAAAAAAGACAGAATAAAAAAATACCTTACCACATAAGCCCCCTGAAGAGACATATTAAGAGAAGTATGCAATTTTCAAAGCAAATGTAGGCATGTTATTGGCAAAATATGCTCCTTGAGCAATGCGTACATAAATAAACCTCTCCCTCACTGCTCCTCAGAACTGCAATTTACAGCCCTCTCAAACATCCAGGTTGTTTTTCCCCAAAGGCTGGTTCCCAAAGGTTCCAAAAAGGTTGGCTTTCCCAAAGATGATCCATTAGCCCTAGGGTGCAGATCACCCACGCAGACTCAGGAAATGAAAACTGGATTTTCTCTTTTCTTTGGATTGTTTTAAGCCTCAGGAAAAGCTGAACTGGCTCAGTGCTGGGTATCCCATACAACTCAGCTTCTTCCACTGAGTCTCAATAGAAAATGCGCTGCATGGGTGCACAAGAGAATTAACAGACAAACACCAATTATAGCTATCATGATGCATCTTTTATTTCAGACTTTTTTTTGTGCTTGTGTGTGTATCATGGCATGTTTCCCATCACTTCTCTTCAAAATCTTCCATGGGTAGTTTGAATAGCTTTCCTTATTCCTTTGAGAAGTAGCATGAGTAATGGTTTATAAAACTTTCTTACTAGAGGGATCACATGGAAATCTGATGTGACAAGACTGGTGAAGCACCAAAGACCTTGATGGGAGAAAATTAATGAATCAAAAGTCATGCTATTGGCATAAATCAATTAACAACTGACCCCTTCATGATGATTCTCCAGTCGTCTTTCAAAACGACACTCTCAAGAAGACTGAAAATACTTTTAAAGTTGGTATTTAAAGAGACCTGTCAATCACAACTATTTAACAGAATTGTTTGCTGTGTGACTGTTCTCCAACTTTTGTTCAGAGATAAAGATTTTCATTCCATCCCATCCCTGTTGCACAGCGCAAGTACATTCTGTTTACTTGAGCTTCATAGAGGAATTACTCCCTGGGTATTTTGGAAAGCACCAAATACCTTAGTTTTCTGATTTTAATATTATAAATGGTTTTGGGACACTGCAGAGATTTTAATCAATGTCCTCTGTTAAGCCTGACCAATCAGTCATTCTTCAGAACTTAAGCCCCATATAACCCATGTGCTTATACAGCAGGTAAAAAATAAGAGTTTCAGCAGTTGGTTTCTGAACAAGGCAAGAGAACTGTCTTCACTGAAGTGAGCACTTACTCAATTGGTTAGCGCAATGCATACACATGCTCTTGCTGTAGAATCCAGCTTTTATTCAGTTCACTGGTTTACATCTTTAGGAGTTTGTCAGGTTTAATGTTCAAACATAAATGCAGGGATCTGTAGAAATCCCTACAGAACTAGCTTGATTCTTATGTCAGGTATTTGTTATAATTGGCTTACTGAACTGCAAATTTCCTTTTGGTGAGACTTATGGAACAAGGGACCCTTTGTAGAAGGCAGCAACACTACTCTTTTTATCTGAGCTTACAGAACCCATAATTTGGGAATTACAAATTTACAGCATTGTGAGATTTCCTTTTGTGCTCCTTGTAACTTCAAAAACTATGCCAAATTCTACCTTTACTTATCCCTAGCAATGACTCACATCTCAAACTGCAGCTTGCAGAATAAATATCTCAGGTAGTTTCAAGCTCTTAATGTTTCAATTAGAAGAGCCATAAATGCTCCAGCAAGAATGAAATAAATTTGAATTCTATGTACATTTCATATTAATTCCAGTCTCTTTTAGAACTGGAGATTCAGTGCAACAGATATGCAGGTTCTGCCAACTCTGCACATAAATAAATTGGACTTGCTGATGGCACAGGAACAGCAAGATGCTTTTCTCCATGCCCAGCACTGTCAACGCAGAAGCAAAGAGGAGTGGCTGTGTGAACAAAGCCATGCTGCCAAATATCTGTACATGGAGCTGCTGCCCACTGTCTCTCAAAGCAGCCTGCAGACATTCAAAGAATCCAGGTGGTGCTGCACTGGCTATCACAACTAAATGTAAAAATCACTAACAACATTAATAATAACAAAAAATTTCACGTGTTCATTCACAGAAAAACAAAGCAAAACATTCTTCTTGCTTCAACTGCGGCTGTAGCCTGCAAAGTGATTATGTATGAAGGAAAGAATTCAGTGTGCTTTTCAGCTTTCATGAATTAGCAGAGGTTTCAAATGAAAAGGAAAAAACAAGGTCTATGTGAGTTACAGTCTGCCCAATGTGAGAGCTGTTGTCACAATAAACACATAACCCATGACGTATCGCCCATATATATTTTCACTATGAAGCACAACAAAGACAGCAAGCATCCTTTGGCACAAAAGCTCCATGCACAACCTCCCCCCTGTGGCATTCTGTTCTGATGCATTACTTGCAGTAGTATGTACCCAGGAACTACACTCATAAGCAAGCACAACACTGCATTCAGGCACAGAACCATCCTCTTCATAAAGTTTCAATTAGCATTTCAACTCAATTGCACTGTATAAAAAAAATCTGGGATACCACATACAAGATGTCATGGTTCATAAGAAATTTAATAATATATTTTATTTTTCCTATTGACATTACTTTGATTCTGAATTCAAAGTACGAAGCCAAAAAAGTAAAATAAATTATCCTATGAAAGCTAACAAATTATTCCATTGTTTTTAATAGCACTGGGCAAATCCTACTGAATTAGGCATGAATTTGTCTTATTTGCAATAAAGAATTTAAGACTAATACATTGTTCCCATTGTAAATCTCAGTTTCAGAGGTTACATGTTAACATTTTAAATCAGCTCCAGGCTTAAGCTGGGAAATGCCAATTATTCCACAAGCATAAAAAAAATACAGAAAGATGACTGACAACCAGATCTGCTTTTATGATCACTGCTAGCTAAATAGGATCCTTTATGAATTGACTAACCTGCTTGCTCTGTCAACTGCTGCACTATCTAAGGCACATTTGCACAAACTCCCCTCAGCCAGCACACATTAAAACTGATACTGGGGGCTTTGGGAAGCAATTCTACAACGCGAGGAGTTACCCACATTTACCTGAGCCTTTTTCACCCGAGAACCATAGCCCCCAGGGAACTGTCAACATGCACGTTATCCCGAGGTAAACAGAAGACAATCTTCTCGTAGCTGTATCCCTATTTAACCCTGCCACTGCATGCCACATGAACGACGTAAAACAGAGCGTTACCATCCCCAAGAACCGATCATCCCTGGCTGGGGTCCGTGTGCCGCTCCACGGAGTGTTGCGGAGGGTGCACTTCAGGACCCGCAGCACCCTGGAGTGCGACAGTCCCGCCGGCTCCCCGGGAACTACCATGGCTCCCTAAAGACGGGACGCCCCCGGCGTGGGCAGTGAAATCACGGGCTGGCGCTGGCGGTGTGAGGTTTGGACACCGCTCCAGCCCGGCTCTCCCTGCAGGTACCGTGCGCCCGCCAGCTCGGCCCGCCCGGCCGACGACCGCCGGTGGCGCCGGCCGGTCCCGCTGTCAGCGCTGCGCCCCAGGGCAGCCGCCGGGCCCAGGCAAGCCCCCCGCCCACGCACGACCCCGCGCCAGAACCAAACCCGGCCACAGCCCCAGCCAGCCGGGGCACGGCCAGCAGTCCCAGGCGCTCGGACACTTACAGCGCTGGCAGAGTCCCGGCACGGCCGCCAGCAGCCAGGCCGCCCCGAGGAAGGCTCCGGGGCCGCGCTGGCACCTGGGCACGGAGACGATCCCCGCGGTGAGGCACGCCAGCAGCGGCACCCACATCATGCGCCGCGGCCGGCACCGCTCCCGCTCCCTCGCCCTCTTCTCGGGGCCGTGTCTCGGCGCCGCGGCGCGCTCAGTCCCGGCCCCCGCGGGGGCGGCGGCGGCGGCGGGGCCGAGGGAGGGGCGGCGGCGGGCCCGGCACAGGTAGGGCGCTCGGAGGGGCGGGCGGGGGCCGCCGCATCTCGGGGGCAGCGCCTGCCGCGCCTCCGCGCCCCGCCGGGACCGGCCCCCCCGCGGCGGCAGAGGGGCCCCGGCTAAGCGCGGAGCTTGGTTCCCTCCATTCGCTTCCAGCCCGGCGGCCAGGGGCGCCTCGCCGCCCGCCCTGCCTGGGGGGTGCGGGGAGGCTCCTGGCACCGCGCGGGGAGCGGCGGCGGCGGCAGCTCCGCACCTCCCTCGGGCGAAGAGGGCGGCTGCCGGGGGGGCGGGGACGGCCGCCCCCTGCCCGCCCCCGCCGGGGGCAGGTGGGCGCTGCCCGCCGCCGTCCCGAGGCGCCGCCGGGGCCGCCTCTCCGCGCCGGGGGGACGGGGTCTGCTGAGGACAGGGAGGGGAGGGCAGGGGACCGCGGCCGGCGGCGCTGCCCGGCCCCAGCGCGGAGAGTGCGGGTCCCCGCAGGTTGCCAGGAGACGGCAGCGGGGCAGGTTCCGCGAGCGGGAGTGCGGGGGCGGGCCCGGCGGTGAAGTCACTGTGGCCGCCCGCGCCTTTGTTCGCCGGCGGCTTCGGTCGCGGCTGCCCGAGCTCGGCACGGCCGCTGTCCCCGGGCGGGGAGGCGGACGAAGGCCGCGGGCAGAGCGCTGCGCCGCCGGCCCCCGCCGCACCTCGCCCGCCGCTTTGGCCCTGTGGCGGCCGCTCCGCTCCGCTCCGCACCGCCGGCTGGGTCGGCCCTCGCTGCGTGTGACCCCACCGCCGCTTGCTTGTGCGACCCTCGCCGGCAGCGCCTCCGTAACCCGGGGCGCTGCCCACCGGCCCAGGAACGCCGCCGCTTTCCCGGGGCGTCCCGCTGGCAGGAGCTACCTAAAACTTCGCTACCTAAAACCACCTCTCCTCCTTTACCGCCCTCCCCGAATCGTTTCTGCCCGGAGTTTCCACCCCTCCGGGCGCAGTGGGTGTAACGCAAAGGTTAACCGTGTCGGAAAGTACCGCGCCGTGCGGGCCAGGAAAGCCCCACCGCGCCAAGGTGCGACCTCGGCCGCTGCCTCGCCCGGCCCCGCTCCGCTCCACGGAGGAGCTCCGTGCAGCTCCTGGCCCTGTGCTCCCCGCGGAGCCTGTGGGTGGAGGCGTTTTCCCGGCAGGTAATACCCACCTGGGCACCTCGCCCTGTCACACGACGGTGGCCGGGCCTCCGCCCGGCTGCGTTACGGGGTAGGTGTGCCGACCTCGGGTCTCTGGTGGCCAGCCGTGTGGCATCCTTTCTTTCTGATACCGGCAACAGATGACTGCGCGCAGGATCCTAGGCGGATCTCTGTGCTGCATCCAAGTCTGTCTATGCAGGGTACGTTTATAAATCCTGCAAATGCAACCAGTGTAAATAATGTACTGTTTCACTCTTTACGAATGAAGGGCTGCGGAAGCCTTTTCAGATCCCGTGCTAAGCCTTGAGAAGCTATGGATGGTTTAGCATCTGAATGTCAGAGGTCAGAAGCTGAGCACGGTGAGTTTGTTCAAGAGTGCTGAGGAAGGGCTGGCAATTAAGCAATCTCGTGGTCCCACTCTGGAGTTTTTAAATGATGTATCATCTTTTTTGCTTCATTGTGGAAAAATCCCCCGTTTCAGACATCTGACTGTCATTCCTTGAGTGGTCACAGCCCAAATGGGGATATGGGATGTGAGAAAGCCATATGCAATGACATTCTGAAAGAAGTGTAGTATCTGCAGGATTTCAAATATTGTGGCATTCTTAACCTAAAAGCTCTATGATTTCAGAGATCACAGTCTCAAACACTGTAGGTGGATAGCTACAGGTCCCTTGAGAACTAATTGGGTGCAATTTGAAATAAGATACACTGGTGACGAGTGAACTAAACTCAATTTACTCCTGTTGGGTCTTGTAATGTTTATAGATCATGATGTTGCAAATTTATGATGATTCAAATGTATCTGGAAGAAAAGGATTCAGATGATACATCAAGAAATTCAAGGAAATATCTTTAAACAAATTGCCAGCAGAAGCAAAAGTGACAGAAACCGGGATCTCCCTATTTTGGATTTTTCACCTGCATGGTCTGAATGGTGCTAATGGGAAGAACGATACAGTTGATATCCCATACAGATATATTGTGTATGAAACTATTAGACAGAATATAAATTATCATAAGCAGCGTAAAGAAAATGGCTATGTCCTCAACAGCATGAATTATCTTCTCAATTTCTAAGCAAAGGCTGTTCATCATACAGGTAGGAATCAGTCATTCCATGCATTATTTCTGCTGAGAACATCATGCAAGAATTTGGTATTCTGGGCAGAAAGACAATACCTGCAGTTTAATGTGGAAGAATAAAAATGGATAATTTTCATATAAAATCTGATAATAAGGTTACCAAAATGAAACCACTCTGGTCATTAACTTAAACCCTGAAAACATAATGAAAAGGATGCCATTGTTGGGTGAGAACTATGTACCCTGAATAAAGTCACCAATAAAAAAGTCCAGAACTGAAGATACAAATGGTTTAGGCCTCAATGTATAGAGGCTGCTGTAGGAGTTGAAAGTATAGTCTGCTGGTTTATGTAAAATGCCATATTTCTTTAGCTTCATTCTTCCTGTGGTGGAATCCAAGGACTTAAAAACATTTACTTTGCAGTGATAGCATCTTTGAATATATTGTTATTTAGACAGTGTTTATAATGCAACAATACAATTAGGCAGGAGTTTTGAATAATAATTCTAGGCTTGCAGAGAAACTGAATCATCCAAGGTCGCATATGAGAGTAAGTAACTCGTAAACTCCCGTAACAAGGAATTTAACACCACTGGAAATGGATTTAAAGTCTCAATCCTTTGTCCTATCCACAGGACAGTGAAACCTTGAAGCAATGTGTTTGTGGCATCTCTGTCCTTGGAGAGAGTTGAAACGTAGCTAAACATGTTCCCAAGCAGACTGAACTAACTGAACCTGTTTTGAGCAGAGGGATGGTTGGGCCTCAGGGGACTGTTTCCAACGTAAGTTATTCTACAAATTTTTGTGGTGGAAAGTGTGTTATTATATTACATGTATCCCAAATTTCTTGAAGTGTTATAACTGTGGCTTCTTTCCAGTATTTTACATTTGCTTTACTGAAACAAAATGCAATTGTCTGTCGCATTGTTGGTGCATAGTCTCTTTTTTCAGGAAACAGCTTTTTCAGGAAAATATTGCATCTGCAATGAATGTTAACTAGAACTGGTCAAAAACCTCAAAACTTTTCTTACAAAAACCATGCTCCTTTTTTTGGTTGAATGTTTCCAACCTTCTTTAATGTGCCATTTCATGGGGGAGAGTCCAAACCAGGACTGCAAAGGGAAGACTGATGGTGTTTTGCAACTAATATCAAAGTTCTTTTTTAAATAAAAAGTGTTATTTATCCAATCTTGTGGTTTCTTACATTATCATGGAATCTTAGACACAATTAAAATCCCCATAAGAAGCATTTTGGTATTGTTAAATTAATTCTACTTTCCTCCAACTTCTCTATTTTAATAGTATAGAATCCCACAAGTGTACAGTAATTGTTTTGGATTTGTTGGGTTCACTTGACCCCACTGACATACAAATCTGATTTTTCTTGCAGTATAACTAACTAAAGGAATCATATGCTTGTCTGTCAGATAGAATTGCATTTGCTGTCACTTGGGTTCATTTCTTTATGCAATATTTGAATCTAAAACTGGATCTGTTTCTTGTAAAAAAGTCAGTGTATTGTGAAAATTCATTATAATCCATCAATTAACAACTGAAAGCCAATGACTATTTCCAAAAAAAAAATGCCAAAAAGTCATAGGCCTCTTCCTCAGAAGTGCAGAATATGAACAATCCTCCTATGCTGTTTATTATATACAGAAAAATTCTATATATGATTCCAGCTGCCCAATGTGATCCACAATTTTTTTTAACAAAATGTGCTTTTATTTTGTAATTCTGAAAAAGAAAATATGATGAAAAATGTGATGCATTTCCTTATAAGATATTAAAACTGTGCACATTGATTTTAGTTTCTAGGCTCAGTTCCTATTGCAAGAATTGGCAATGCCAGTTTCCAAACTAGAAAAGTCTTTACTTCCCAAAATAGTATTTTTCATTATTTTTTTCATTAATACCTACCTTAGTTACCAGCCATGCTACTGAACTTCCTGATATACATGGGACAAAGAGAAAATGGTCAATTTTACCATAAAATAGTAATCCATATTGTCCAACAATTTATATTTTTTGTGAAGGCTTACACTGATTTCAAGTGGACATTTTATGTGAATTTACAAATCTTACTTAAGTTTGCAACTTCCATAGGCCTGCATGAACATCTGAATCAATACCTTTTTGCATTTACCCTCTCGGTGTTAACAGTTTGGTCAATGTCATGCAGAGACAGGTGGAATACCACTACTTATTTTCCATATACTCAGCCTGGTGACTTTTATATACTGCATTTAAAGGTTGTTGTTATTCCTAATTTATTTGGAAAACTTTAGCTATAAAATGATTTTCTTTTCTGGCCTGTGTGGCAGAAATTTCTCCATTCTGCTTTTCTGAAAAAACTTGCAATATCATTCTGGTACACTTTTCTTCCTTGTTTATATAACCAATCGAATTGTAAAATTTTTATATTAAAAATAGAGTATGTAATTCTCCTGAAATCCCAGAGCATGTTCTTGTGTTCAATGCTTCTGGTAAGTCCACTGAAGAAGACTGTGTTATAAGACAATAAACCTGAGATATTTCAGACTATTGCAAAAAAAAGAAAAAAAAAATTGCAGATGGGTTCTTAACAGAAATGGTCAGCAAGCAGTTGAGACAGAAACAGTCATTTCACAGGTGAGAAAGTATCACTCTGTTTAGGGTTTACTAGGTTAAACCCAATGGTTTAAGTTTTATACACTCATTTCCAAAGAGATCTGTAGTGCAGACAGCTGATCTTTAAATTAGCTCTGGAGGGGGGTCTCAATGAAGGTGTCCCTGTCCTCTGTTTAAGAAAGAATAGGATGATTTTTTCTAGACACAAGGAAGCATAAGAAATTATCTATGTAGTCCCCCTAGGATACTCAAAACCATAAAAATATGTATTGTAACAAGTGGTCAAAGCTGAAGTTGTTTATTGAAATGGTCTAAAAATCTCTTTCTGGAAGTAATTACTAAAAAACCCCAGTAGTATATTTAGTTAAACAGATGTATTTTGAAAGAAGAACATTTCAGTTGTTGTCACATGAAGGGTTTTAAAGAACACTGTTTCACTAAGATTTTTTGGTATTTCCACTATGTATTTTTATGTGAAGGAACTGATATTTTAGACAAAAGTGTTTTCTTTTGACAAATACACAGTTTCGAGAGTCTTTCTGACTTCAGAGAGGTGAGGTCCCCTGTGCTCTATCTTCGAAGTATAAAATTTACCTGGAATTCTTCTATATGCTGTCATTAATATTTTCCAGATATTACTTCATGGGCTTACAGGCACCATGGCTTGTGCCTGTAAGGAAAGGAAAAGACAGAAGAACAGTAGGCCAGATGAGTCATTTCATTAGCCTTATTTCAGTTGGACTTTGGCTGAAGGGCTGAAGACCTGACCCTGTGTTACTAATCTGTGTGCCATTTTCCTGTTTTCCTTCAGTGACTGACAGAGAAAGAAGAACATATTGTTTTAATTAGTTTATATTCACAAAGGACTGCAGCCCACCTGAAAACAGTCATAGCATCTTTGAAGCGATGTTGTTTTCCATGTTCATGGAGGATTGGGGAAGACCAGGTTTCATATTGATAGATCTAGGTATAGATCCACAGACACCGAGTGAACTCAACCCTGAAAACACACATTTCACAGAATAGTTTGTGACATGCATGAATAGCACTTTTATTTCAACAGAGAAACAACAGCCACTGTGAAGTTTAGTAAGTCACACACTTTTTTTTTGTTATTATTGCAAGCTCAGACTGTCCACAGAACATTGGCACTCCATGTGTTTATTTTACCTCCACCCATTTCCTCTGTTCTTGTTGCCTGTCTCCTACCTTTCTCTCTGGTACTTGAAAAAGGTATGTAATCTCCACTTAGTGCTGAGAGCCAACATAGGTGCCCATCAAGTCACTGTATTACACCTCAGGTGTTTTAATTTTCTTCTTCTTCAAATTCTTTTTTCCTCTTTTAATTTTTTTCCCATTGAAGACTACAAGTCCCATTCTGCCTTTTTCCTCATCTGCATTAAAAAGTTTTTTATTCTTTCTTCTCACCTTCCCTCCACCCAGTCACTTTGAATGGATTGTCAGATACTTACAGGCCTCTAGCTTTCCACACCTACTCCTCTATGTCTCTCACTTCCCTAACAGAGTCCCAAGGATTGCTGCTGCTGTAGCTATCTCAAGCAGCTTTTCATCTTCCTCATCCTCCTTCCACAGCAATTTCACCCTTTTCTGTCCCCTGGATTCAGACCTTGGGTTACCCAATTTCCAGATGAAATATTCTGTAACAGTATAATAGTCCTGAAAGTTTTGGAAGTTTTTAGAGAAAATGTCCACATTTGCCCCTGACAACCATTAGCTCATTTGTTATTTCCCAGAGGTTTCCTATGTTATGTTTTACAAGGAACAGGTAGAATGTAGGTAGAATATAGTAGATAGTGAGTAGGAAATGTTTCTTGGGACTTCTGAAAGATTCAAGTTCCTCCTGAGAAACTTTTGAGGAAATTGGGTGTTAGAGATTGAAAGGGAAAGTTAAGATATGGTTCATAAACAGCACTGGTGCTGTTTAACAGAAATTAAAGTTCTTTTCTAGATCAGAATAACCGGTATGGATCAAGCTTAAAGGTTTCCTACATTCAAAAGCAAAAGCTTGTAACTGGGTGATTGATGAGTGCAAATCATTTCTCCTGCCCATAGCTAAGCTCCTGCATTGAGCAGTGGCCGATGAGTGGAAAAATCCCACAGGCAAACTCTGTGTGTGTGTGGCAGAGGAGGAAAGTGGGAGTTGTGGGGAACAGGGACAGGAGGTGGGTGGTTTTCCAGAACTGTCAAAGGTTCTGAACATCTCTGGTAGAATTTCATCTGATTTTTTCCTCAGTCTTGAAACATGGTATGAATGTTACAGCCTGGTCGCTGTCTGTGTGGTGTTTACCTGCATATCCTCTCCTCTCTCTCACCAGATTGCTGCTCTACTCACTGCTAAAATGACAATTAAAATAATTCAAGAAATATTTAAGTGCAGAATCAGGAAAGAATGGAGGCAGATGGGGACATTTAGAAATAGCAAGAAAGCATTACTTATTGATGTTTGTAATTGTTTCAAATGTTGTCTGCATATATATCTTCTCACCTTTTACATCCTGCTTATTCTCAGACAATTCATTTTGGCAATGTTTTCATTTTGTCATAAGAGCATGTATGTTTGGGCAGCACCTCACACAAATTCATCCCTTCTTCTGAAAGATATCTCTAATTCTGTTTTTTTTTAAATTTGGATCGATAAGTCTTCTCTTGTCTAATTCCAGGATCCAGTAGAACTGTAGTTATTGGTTTTACTGCTCATACTTTAAGCTAAAATAAAGCTAAGATTATTTTTAAAATAACAAATAACTAACTCTTGGAATTCATGGGCTGTGGAAATTTGTAGGATTTTAAAATAAATGAGATATTTATAGGAATTGTATGTGTGCCTTTACATTAGCCAGGATAAAAGTTCATAACAAAGGTAACCTTTTGTACCTCAGAACAAGAACTGGTCACTAAGGCCGCACAGAAATTTCTTGTGCAGCCACTCTGTGACATGTTCCTTTAAAGATTATTTCCACCTTTGCTGAAGCATCTGGTACCAACTGTGACTAAAGTCAGGGTAAGGTATGAGAAGGATTATGGGATTAATGTGTTGCAAAGGAACAGAGAATTTTTTGGGGACATACAGTTCTTGCCTGAGTTGAGGCAGTCAGGAGTAATTGAGTTGTTCAGCAGTATATAAAGTATATAAAGTCAGAACTCAGGACGAAAATTAAGGCCAACCTGTTAGTATGTACTTGAACAGAGTACACAGCTACCTTAGGATTTGCCAGAATGTATCTTTTTATTTCAAATGGAAAATACTTTACAAAATTAAGTTACAGCCAGGCTAATAATTTTTTCCATTTAAATTTAGTTAATGTGATATTCTACCTGGAAATAATCCTCATGTGACATGACACAGTAATGAACATTGGAAGATGAGGTGAAATATAGATTGCAGAGTAATTTAGTTATTCTAACTGTGTTTGAAGAAAAATGTTTCTGATAAAACTTCTTAGGCACCATTTTTCATCATAGCACCATTTTTCATCAAGGCTCAATAGTTGTATGAGAGACAGACTATAGATGAAACTGAAGCATTAATATTAAATTTCTGGGTGAAGTTTTATAGC